GGCGGCGTCTTCTCCTCCCTCGCTCTCTTCGACGGCGCCCTCTTCGCCGGAGGCCTCCCAACACTCTTCTTCGCCGCCGCCGCCTCCCTCTTGCCCTCCTCCTTCGTCTTCTTCCTCTGATCACCTCCGCCTCTCCTCGAACTCGATGAGCCCTTCATCGTCTCGGGAGGCGAGCTCGATTTCATTCTGTTCAAGAAATCTGCAGCGCTCCGCTTCTTCGCCAATGTGGATTTCGAATCTTGCTCTACCGGGTCGGGTTTCGGGGTTGACACCGGGTTCGGGTTCTTAACTGCGTTGCCGCCTCCTTTGGTGTTCGTCCGAGTTTTGTTAGTCCTCAGCCCTCTCGATACCGCCGTCCTCTGCTGCTTCGTGCTCTTCTTGTTCGTTGCTGGTTCTCTGTCTTTGTTTTCGTCTTCGATTTCCCCTCCGTCTTCGGCGGTTTCGATTTCGGCCTTCTCTACTTTCTCAACATTCTTCGGCTTAATGGGTTTCGCTGTGATGGCGCTCCGTTTACGGCACGCTACCAATGGAGGCAACGGAGCGGGCTTCTCGTTGGTGCCCGAATCCGATTTAGGCTTCGAGGACGCCGGATGAGGCTGCTGAGCTGGCGGAGGAGTAGCTTCTTTGGCTGACTGTGGAGAAGTCTGAGGGGTTTTACGCAACGCTGTGGCTATTCCTTTGTTGACGAGATCGCGGAGATGGACGGCTGAGATTGATTCGGGCGAATTTTTGGGGTAGAAGACGAGAGCGTTGTTGCAGAGGAGGAGGAGGTCGCGAAAGAATTCGACGCTCGTGTATCCTTTCCTCCCGATTCTGTCTTTCACGATCTCGAGGTCCACGTGGCGGCGTATCTGGCTCCTGTACCGCACGTTCTCCTGAAAACATTGCAGGGTTTAGTTAGAAAACATTAAATAATTACAATTTTTAAAAAAATGAAAACTTGTAAACGCAAATGTCGCGGGAAATGAAATAATTCGGAGGGACATATAATTTTTTTAAACAGGTCAGCAGACTACAAGCGAACCGGGTATGCAAAACAAATTTCACCCGACCCAATTAAAAAAGAATGAAACGCAGCGTACGACAAAACAATACTCGTCCAAACCTTATCAGACGTAAAATTTTGAGGATTGAGAGTTTGAGTCGACGGGTCGAATCCATCCAAATTTAAATCCAGATCCAAAACGAAAAGGGCAACGTGGGAACTTATTAGTGGTTGGAGTTATAACTCTTCCTTCGTCAGGTGCGACTTAAAACTTTGAGTGGCACTAAAGGCACACCCTTAGCCACACTCTCAGCCACATCCTCTCACCTGCTATAGTGCAGGGGGTCCCACCTGAGATTTTTTAAAAAATCTCGGGTGGGGTCCCCTGTACTGTAGCAGGTGAGAGGGTATGGCTGAAAGTGTGGCTAAGGGTGTGCCTGTAGTGTTATTTTAAAACTTTTTTCTTCTCCGAGTGAATTACTAATAGATCGGTGACCATATAAAATTAATTTTACTTGAAATTTACATTGCTAACTTTATCCACTAAAGACCATCATTTTGTAATAAACAACTCGATATTTTTCTTAATTAAACCTTCAATCAAAAGATCCAACGGCCGAGACTGAGCCCGCCCATACCCACAAACAAAAAAGCAGTATCCTGAAGGTTCAATATTTTCCCACCAATTTATCGTGAGAAAATGAACGAGAAAATGAAATAATACCTGACTCTCGAGCCGGCGGTCGAAAACTGAACCGTCCTTATTCGACCGGATAGTTTCGAGGAAAGCGATCAAAGGCTGAGATTCAACGTCGGCCGAGCTTGAACACCGACACCGCCTCGGCAATCAAAGGCTCGGGGCCGGTAGATGCGCGGTCGCGCTCCGCCTCCGACCTTCGTCTCCGCGACGAGATAACTGCCGGAAGCTCTGTATCTGTGTCGCTGCATCAGAATCATTTGGCCGCGGGCCTTTCCCCCCTTCATCCTCGACCTCGAGCGCCTATTAAGAGTTCAGCTAGGACCGCACCTCGTTCCGACATCGTTTGCATGGCCGGATCCGGTTCCCCGCCGCCGGTGACGCTTAACCGCTCCTCTGGCAATCGTACTGCGGAGCTCGCCCCGTTGAGGACGCGGCTGTTACCGATGGCAGGACCTTGATCCGGATCTGATCCGCTTAACACCCCCAGTATCCGCTTGCTCTTAATACCCGGCTCTTCGACTTTATCGCTTTTGCTTTAGGTCCGTCGAGTGTCGATTTCCTTGCACGATCGGCACGGAGTCTTGCGGAGACTCGAGTCGCCGCCGCCTATCTCCCGGCGTTGATCAGTGGATGAATACAACCGTCCGTTCCTCGCCGTTCTCCTCTCCTCCTTCGGGTTAAGAACCGCGATCCGGATCCGGATGCCCGTTATCGCCGTCGCCGCCGCCGCCGTCGGCCTCCGGCTTGCTCAAATTCCGTTCGCGCTCTTCTTTCATCTTTTTTACTTTTAATTGCAACGACCTAATTTCGAAAAAAATACAAAAGAAATTTTTAATTACCAAAGAATTTGAACCGTAGGATCCTTATCCAACGGTAAAGGAAATTGAAAGGAGAATAAATACGAAAATATGAAGAAAATAATATCTCCCTATTTTTTTAATTAATGTTTTTACCCGATCGAAACATCGTAACGCTGGACCTCTCGACGGAGTTCAGCGACCCGAAGCCTTCGCAGTTCATCGAGCCAAGGAATCTCGACCGTTGGCTCCTTTTCATCGCTCTCATCTCCACCGTTGATCCCGTCACCGCCCTCGCTTCCGGAGAACCGGCGTTTAAGGTGACGGTACCGCCTCCTGCAGGCGTGGTCGCGGTGAGGCGGTGAGCGAAAGGTGGATGCGGTGAGCGTACCTCGCGGCAACGAGTCCGCAGGAGGGTGGGCCCGCGTGGCGGTAACGGGCGCACGCGAGGCAAAAGCTCCTCCCACGTGCCCCAGATCTCGTCCTCCTCCGTCACCGTTAACGGATCGTTAGATCTCTCCATGGAAGCTCATATCGACATCACGATCGTCGTCGTTAAAGCCCTAGGGTTTTCGCTTTCGCTTCGTTTTTATAATCGTTATGATTATTGTTTATTTGTTCAATCTTTTGTGTTAATCCGAGTTTCTCCCTTCTCCCTTTTCCTACAGCTCCCTATCCTCTCTCTCTCTCTCTGTATATAAGGGATCGATGACTGGCACGCAAGTGAGCCATTTCCAGATTTAGCTAATTACGATTTTGACCTTACTTTTTGCTGATTATTTCTATGCCCAACTTATTGGTTTTTTAACGTTGGGTATTTCACATAAAACCCCCTCTAATGTACGTACTCCAAATTTTGACTGACAAAACTTAAGATGGATGATAACAAAAACGTAGAAATATTGTTACATGTATAAAATCAATCGCTACATGCATAAAAATCAATTTTCTTTCTTAAAATCTTTCTGATTAATTCAAATGTGATTTCCAAATTAACTAATATTAACTATCCACTATAGTTAAAGAAATCAAATTAGAAAGACGTGTCTTGATTGCTGAGTAGTGATAAAATTTATATTCTAATTTCCACTCATTAAGCTATGGTATTTACAAATAATTAACAGTTTCATGTTTCCTATTAATATAGTGTTGATCAAACTGCGAATAATTTTGGTTTTTCCAAAAAAAAAAAATCATTTTGAGAATGTTAGAAGCTTGGTCCATAAACCATATCAAAGTGTTCATAAGAGGGATCAAAGCGCAAATAAGATGAAAGCTAAGGTCTTAAGCTCAGCCACGATTTTAGTTTTGAATAATAAGCAAAGCGGTCATCAAAAATAAATGACAAGACTGTCCCCCATTTGCCGTCTTTTTTTTTCCCCTTTTTTTTGGTTTCGTTTGCCCGCTTTTCCTCGGTAGAGCAACAGAGTCCAAAACCTAGGAGTGATTCAAGCCGTGGGATTGGCTGAGAGCTTACATTAGCCGCTGATTCGTTTTCATGGAGGACATCCGCTGTTACCAACAAACAGCAAGCACGTCACGCTGGAAAAAAAATCCATCTTGACGCGTGGAATAATCGAGTCAGATACATGTGGTTTCGTATAAGCTAAGTGGGAATCACATCATCAGACGGTTGTAGAGCGTACACGTCATCAACGGGACGATGGATCTTTTATTGGACGGTCGTATCTACGTTAGGAAATGCGGAGGGTTAGGGCCACCTTTTTTCTGTTAGGCGCGTTCATGAATACAACGTTTTGAAATGCAAATTCAACGAATGTTTTGTATATTAGCGGGACTACGAGTGGGTCCGATTTTATGTAATGTGTGATCTAGTAAATCTTAATTCGTGCTAATTCTATAATAAACCCATAAGGATGTATAAAAACTTCAACGACGAAGTCTTTATTATAAATTTTCAGAATCGACCATGTAAATGCTTATTTTCTAGTCGATCTGCTCTTTGCATATTCATTTTTATTATTTTTCTAGTCAAATGTCTTAGTGTATTCCAAAAATAGACGAGGTGGCATTCTCACTCCTGTTATATTTGTTTTGCGAATAGCGCCACATGACTAAAATCTCATCTGAAGTGGCTAATAGATAAAATCTAAATTTAGCAAAATTGGGTCTAGTTTTCTTTTATTAAGATCGCAAAGGTTACTTGACAATTTTATTTGAGTGCAAAAAAAAAAAGTTTCAAACATTGTTATACATGGCTCGAAGGCTCGGAGCCGATCCGAAACGGTAATAGAGATGATGAGATTTGGGACACGCTGACGAAGACTAAGCGGGGCGGGTCGACTTTGACCGAATCCAAACCCGACCCACTTGAGGCACCACTTTCAGTTGTCGATGAGATTGGGTTGATTGCTTGCTTTATTTAAGCCTTGCCCATTATTAATTGGAACTGGGCTAATAGCTTATTAAAGTTGCGCTAGTAATACTAGGGACTGAATTTGAATCCAACATGGCAAAAAGTGAGATGCAAATATTTGTTTAGACCATTTTTTGATATATTTATTATTTTTTTTTCAAATTGTAAATTAGATCCGATATGAGACTAAATGTGATCATCTAATCTGATCTCCGGGTGACGAGAAAAAAAAAATGATGTGACAAATCGCTAATTGATTTATAGATATCTAGACTACATTGGTGCACATAAGGACAAGTGTACATTTTTACTTATCCAATATTTTCTCTAAATATCATGATAGTTTCTCCCAAATACAATAATGTGTTACGATGTTCATTTTTTTTAAGTGATCAATTAGATCAAAATAGCATATATCATGGTCGCATATATAAGTTGACGATAAATAATTCTTAGACCAATTCTCCTTAGTAAAATGAAGTAGAGATAATTCTGTTGTACCTCTTTCATTTCATTTCTAAATATTCAATTAACAAAGCGATTAATTTTTAATCAAAATATGATTATTCGTTCCCATTGTTTATGTTTAGTCAGTGATAGTGATTACCTTGAGAAAGTATTTGTCAAGGCTGTCAAGCACAATATTCCTAAAATTAAAGTAGGGATTCAAAAACAATTAATTTAGTACTAATTCCTATTTGCTTGCCACTAAAGTCTATGCAAGCAACTCAAATGGTTGGGGTATGGATATTGAGCAAAGGAATATATGATTTTGTACTCAGAAAATAGGATTCGGAAAGTACTTTGATATGAGAAATTGGTAGGCCGAAAGGCTATAAAAAGCAAGACTTACTATTTTAGATATTTATGATGATCGATTTGTTAGTGTGGCAAATGTTAGTAAAGCAATGAAGGAGACAGAAATTCTGAGGCGTGAAACACTTTCCTTAAAGAAATATTTGCCCCACTTGATATTCAAAGTTGCTTCGGGTTAATGCAAATTTTCTTCCCAGGATACAACAGAAAATGAAAATTCCAGTAAGCAAATCTGGAATTTTCCTTAATTCGTTGTGAAACAAGTTTGTAATATTGCAGAAGTTTTTGATAGAAAAGATTCAGAAAAGAATTGTTTTAGATATCTGAAAATATAAACTATTTATAGATTTTGAAAATGTGCTTCCAACAGTCACAACTTTTCAAAACACCCCTTGGATTAAACAGCCACTTTTCAACAGTCTTGTCTTTTCATAATTTTTAAAAATTCAAAATAACATTAAATATTATATTCAATGTATAATTATATATATATAAAAAAATAGAACATTATTCGCGTCAAAATCGCGCATTATTCGCGCTACCCGCACGCGGGTTTAGAAGCCTACACTTTGATCCATTATTCAAAGCCCAATAAGCATTCAATGTTTTTAAACCTCTAAAAGAATGCTCAAAATTCCGATGTGGGACTATCTTGTTTTTTTTTTTTTTTTACAAACAAATACTAACAGCAAATATAGTTCAATCTAATAATTAGATACATGTTTGCGCTTGCATTCGACATATTTGATTATTTAGCTAAATGTATTCGCTTGTCGGCTAATTTAATTTGTGTGACATATCAGAACTATTTTTTTTTTTTTTTTGAAACAGGTTGATTCACGAACTTTATGCGTATGTTTGCAGTATTATCTGAATCAAGACGGAAACCATCAAATTAAGATATAGACATTAATGTATTACAGATCCTTCCTATATAACAGTGAAGTTTGATAGATAATAAGACATCAAGTTCATATATTTTTTAATATGAAAAGTATTCTGCTACATCTTCATCTCTAAGTGTGTCTCCCTCTGATGTTTGCTTGACCATCATTTTTCTAGATCAATAATTCAAGGGGTTTTTTGCTTTTAGACCCATTTGTTTACTCCCATTTATCTTTAAACCCAAGTACTATTATTTGTATCTTTAAGCCCAATTCACCTTTTGTATTTATCTTTAAACCCAATCTTTAAAATACTATATTTTCATCACTTGTTTTTATATTTTGGAGATTGGGTTTAAAGATAAATACAAAATGTGAATTGGGATTAAAGATAGAAATAATAGTACTTGGGTTTAAAGATAAATGGGAGTAAACAAATGGGTCTAAAAGCAAAAACCCCTAATTCAAGATCATATCCTCAATACTCTTGTTCATGACTTGAACATAGCGGTATACACGGTTTAGGTACGGTTGGATATAATACTTATTATATTTGTATTTGTTTGCTAGTCACTGTTGGGAGCGAGGGACGCCCACTTAACCGCGGAAGCAAATCAACCCGAGAGAGAACAACCAACAAGCAATAACGAATACACAGATAAAATAATAAGTAAATCAGACGAGACAACAGATTTACGTGGTTTGGCAAACTTGCCTACGTCCACGGGGAGCCACACAAATAATTTCTTATTTAACCACAAGAAATTACAAACTTGCAAAGATCTCTCAATTGAGAATATAGATTACTGTAGAATTGTTACAGTACCGCGTGTGATTTATTCAACTGAATAAATCACCGCTCAATCTCTTCTCAATAAATCACCACAAGCTTCTCAAATCCTTGAGAAATCGCCGCCGCCACAGAAGAAAAAACTCTCCTTTGAAAAATCTTGATGCCGCCACAGAAGAAAAAACTCTCCTTTGAAAAATCTTGATATGAAGCTCACTTCAATCTCGTGAACAGGGTTTCCCTATTATAGGGAAACCCTAGAGCGAGCTCTAGCTGTCTCCCACCACGCAGGCGAGCTCGAGCGATCCAACAGGCGAGGTCGCGACTCCAGCAGGCGAGCTCCATCAGGCGACTCCCTCGCCTTGCCTCGCCCGACCGCATGCGAGCTCCACGCAGGCGATCCCCTCGCCCGAGCTCCTCGCCTCAGGCGAGCTCCGACTCCACCTCAGGTCTATTCTTCTTCAGTCAGAATATGGATATGTTTCTGTAAGAGAAATTAATATCTATATTCGCTAAGTTGGACACGGATAAAGATATATAAATATATGCGAATATATAAGTAGATATACATTTGGATACCAAACAAATATGAGAAAACTAGATAATATTGAAAATTTTATAATTCATATGACACAAGAGAGTTCATTAGTATATTCGTTATATATAAAAAAGCAATTAGATCTCTTGATCATTAAAACTAACCTCAAATAAGATATTCTAAGGATTAAAACTATTACAATTGTATGACGAACATAAATTCAGAGATTTTTGGATATGGATCTGGATATTTTACTGCATAT